AAAACTCCCACTGCATTCAGTGGGCCTGATTCTCATCTCACTTACAACGGCTGTATGCTGCTGTGACTCTCTCAGTGTGCACTTATTCTTTGTGCCCAGCTCTGGTGTCAGTATGGACGTGGAAGAAGTTACCCTGTAGCTGCCCTGTTCGGTTCTCCCACTGACTTCAGTAGCATGGGTAGTGTGAAATTACTACAATACTAGTCAGCAGAGATTTAAGCAGGTGCTGGGTGGAGCTGGGCAGCCCCTGTGGGGTTTGTTGTTGGCTTCCTGGGTTAGACCTGGCATAACTGGTCACTTAGGGGCCTATTTTTAAAAGGATTTTTAAGGGAGCCCAATGCTTTTTCACTGTAACTTAGTAATAGTTTATATAATTCAATGGAATATGTTGCTTCTTTTGCATGGAGGGTCAGCCTGAGGCCTGGGCAGCACTGAGGGTACCTGTGGACAGCAGATGAAGGCAGGATTGTAGCAAAAGGATACCGTCCAGAGCCAGTTTTAATCTAGCTGGCCCCAGTAATGCCAGTGATGGAGGCTTGTCAGTACGGACGTCATTGCATACCAGCAACTCAACTGTGAACCATGGTTTGGATGGTAGGTAGTAAACCTGGTGCCAGTGTGTCTCTCTTGTCAGCATTACCTGTGCTGGGGATTTATTTTTCAAGCTTTATTTATCCCTCAAGCAGCGTACAGAAAACCTGCACCATGAAGCTGCAAAGAGCATGTTGGGAAGGTGGTGCGGTGAGATAGGCCACAAAAAGGCACGTGTATGTGGAAGGCAGAGCAGAGATGCCCTTGTGGACTAACTAAATCAGAGTCGCATAGACTTTCATGAACCCAATTCATTGGATGCTGAGGAAGGACATGCCCAGAGCAGTCCTGTTGTATGGGCATGCTGTAGAGATAGGAGATATAGCAAAAAAAAAAGTCCAGTCCTGCAGCTGCTGCTACAACAGGTTATTGTTTCCACAGCAAATATATTTGGAAAAGGTTCTGGAGAAGGAATATTACAATTTAAGGGTGCTGCCCTCAGGGCTGCTTCTGGCTAATGCGCTCCTCCAGAGCGTGCTCTCCTGGGTGAGGCTCTGCAAGTACCTTGTGCTCCACCTCCATTGCCTCATTGCTTTCCTCCCCACATCCTGGCACCCCTTCCCTTGTGCATGCCCCCCCGTGCT